GGTGAACTTACAAGGAAGGTCCAAGCACAGCACACATTTGTTTGCACTGATAACTAATCCAAAAGGATTGAGAAGGAGAAGGGAGGGCAGATTTTTGCCAGCTTCCAGCGGAGACCCACTCCCCCAGACTAATTTTTATACCAGCAGCAATGGTAGTGGCAGCGGTAGCAGCAGGAGAAGCAGCATCCAGAGCTGCTAAGGAGATTTCTGCTGACTTGTGGCTTTTTAAAAATAACTCTGCCTTTGTCAGCAGGTCAGGGTTGTTCCAGATTGAATAAGCACAGCGGCTCAGCCCTCCCCTCCTCTGGGTAATTTGCACAAGTCTGTCACTCTCCTGCATCTAACAAATCATCACAGTTAATGTCCCAAAGAAGACAGATGGGCCACTTACTGGTGCTACCATCGGTTTTTGAGGGGTGAGCAGGATGGCATCCCCAGATGGGTACAGAATGGCACAAGAGAGACAGCAGCACACTTTCATATCTTGCTCAAAACCTTATCAGAATAGATACCAATGTAGTGCAGAGGAACTTGATTATCTAGTTGTAGATTGTACTGCTGGTCACATCTTTCTTTTGATAGGTGAACCTGGTAGGGTATATTGATTTGGGAAGATGATGATGATGATGATGATGATGATGATGATGATGATGATGGTAACCACTCCTTTTAGTACTGTACTTGCACTGTGGTGATACAGAACCTGATCTCTGCATGACCTGGAGAGGAGATACAAATGCATAAGTGCAAATCACAAATAATGTGCTATAATGTAAACTTTTCAATATGGAATGATGACTAAAGAGTAAACTTTGGGGGCATGGAAATTGCTGCAGGTAATTGGGCCTGTTCCTTCAGCCCAACATGGAGCACATTCAGCTCCTGAGAAATACTGGTGTGAGAGGAGCACACTGGTGACCAGAGATTTGGGGATGGAGATAGTCTGCAGGGTATTTTGTTTTTGTTTGTTTGCTTAACAGATCAACTTATCTGAGCAGTATAAATTTGGAATTTCAGCAGCATATCCCTAAAGTGCACAAACCTCAGTGCATTGCTCCTATGCTAATCTCTCTCTCTCATGTCAGAGAGAGGGGCCCCATTCACACTAGCATTTCTGTAGCAAGGAGATCCGAGTGGAATCGATGCTGCAATTCCAAATCAAAGTTCACATTATGTTTACACCGATCGAATCTGTCTGGCACAATTTAACCCTGTTGAAGTTCACACTGACTGAAGCACCAATTCAAAATGGATCCTCCATATTGATTGTATGTGATCATTTTTGGTTTTATTTTATTTTTGTTCTGTCAATCAAATGATGCGCACCTACATCACACCACTTCTGTTGTCATAGGACTTTATCACATGGGGAAAATGGGGGGGGGGCGAGAATTGGGAGTTTAAAGAGTCATTATCCTGGGAAAATGACTTCTCATGAATGAGGGGAATAAAGAGGGAGAAGTCCTTCCTTCCTTCTCCTCCTCAGCATGCCAGGTTTTACTTTCAAGTAGAGCCTGGCTTGCAGGGGAGAATAAAGAAAGAGCAATTCTTCCAGGCCAGTGTGAGGCAGCTGTTTGAATGTTGGACTGGGACTCTGGAAATTAGTGTTTGAATCCTAGATCAACCATATAAATTTAGTGGGAGACATTGGCATAGTCACACTCTCTCAGCCTCAGAGGATGGCCATGGCAAACCCTCTCTGAAGAAACATGACTAGAAAACCCTGGTTCGTCTTAGGGTTGCCGCAAGTCAGAAACAACTTGAAGGTACACAACAAGAAACAACAACTATGGGGGGTTGCAGACTGCCAGAAATAGTGCAAATTGAGTCCACTTTTAGGGTTAGGGTTAGGGAATCATGGGAACTGTATTTTATTGTGGCACCAGAGCTCTCTGACAGAGAAGGCTCAATGTCTCAGAAGAAAATACAGTTCCCATGATTCCCTAGCACAAACCCTAACCCTAAAAGTGGACTCGATTTGCACTATTTCTGGCAGTCTGCAACCCCCTATCTCTCCCTCTCTCCTTTTCCTTTCCCAAGCATCAGCTCTTCCTTCTCTCTTCTCCCCTGATGCAGTTTTCCTTTGCAAAAGTAAGTGCAAAGTTTTTCCCTCTTCTTCTTCTTCCCTGCCAGAAAGAAGGAAGGAAAGACAGACTAGCTGCCAAAAAGGAGATGAGGCACTGCAAAATGTAGGAGATTCAAGAAAAATGGAGGACATGCAAAAGAAAAGCTACAAACACTCATAGAAATATAAATCCATGCTTCTTAGTCCTGCTCAAAATGGAGGACATTGTGGAATTCCTCCTGGACAGAAGGCTGAAATGGAGGACAGGACCTTGAAAAGTTATCCTGATCTAAAGACACTTCTAGAAATGTAAACCCATACTTCTTAGTCCTGCTCAAAAAGGAAGACATTCAAGAAAAATGGAGGACACGAACAAATGAAAGCTAAAAACACACATAGAGATACAAATCCTTGCCTCTTCACCCTGCTAAAAATGGAGGGCCTTCAGCAAAAATGGAGGGCGTGACCAAAGAAAACCTTCATAAAGCTCATCAGCCATAGGCTTGCTTTTGGTAGGGTAGGAGTCTCACTGTCTCAGACTCATAGGATGGCATAAGAATGACCAAGATATGGTTGCCAGGGAGGAGGGAGGTACCAGAGAATGAGTATCCCTGTGTAGAAGCCATGGAAATGCAAAGGCTAGCACAGTCTGTCAAAAAATATGTTTTTTTAAAAAATACAGATGTCCCCAAAAGAACCCCCTTCCCTGGCTTTGGCGAGGTTTGAGCACCTGGCAATGCATCGTTGCGGAAATCAGAGTAGAAAAGGAAAACAGCTGAGAGGTTGTTTAAAGGACCCAATAGCGGGAAATTTGAATCCACTCGCTGGCAACTAGGTGCAAACACCAAAATGGTGCTTACCACCCAAGCTAGACCTGCAGGATGGGATGGGTATGTTCCCCCCCTCTGCCCATTACACCACTCCCTCTTGGATGCCTCAAATGGGATCAGGAGCAAGTTCCCATTGGTGGTACCCCGATAACACCTGGTACTTTTGAAAAGACACGGGGAAATATGTGATTCTGGAAAACCTGGGTTAAGGGGGATTTGACACGGGCCCCCTTGAATTCGGGTCAGGAAAACCTAGTACCAGTGTGAACGATCCCATTTTAAACTGGTTTGCAAACCAGTTTATAACGCAGTGTGAACAACCCCAGAGAGAGTCTGAGAGAGATGCAGCACTGACTTCCTTTGGGTGAAAATCATCATCCAAATTAATTTTCAAGCTTTAAATGTAACACATAAGCTCTGTTCTGAGCAAAGTCATGGTGTGATTTTTGCATGTGATACAAATTAACCCCCTCCCCTTCACTTTCCCAAAGTCAAAGGGGTGGGCTGGGGGTTAAGAAAGAAAATTACAGACAGCTTTTCATCAAGAAGGATTTACTGAAGGATTTTTCACAGGGCAAATACACCAGGGCTTTCTTGACTGGTCAGGTAAGCAGTAAGAAGAGATATAAAAGGCGTCATGTAGAGCGATGGGTACTCTGGGAACAGGATGTAAAGAGACGATGAGTGCTTTGTATTTCACGCTTGGAAGGACTGAGGCATTTACTGGTCCTTACTAAATGATTTAAGATTGAAAATTCTGGTAGGGAATGGGCTTTGCAGCTGCACTCTCTACATGGGTAAAAGTTTTTGAACTGACTCTGGGATCCTTCTCTTAGAAAGAGTAAAAAGCCAGGGCACTGGCAAATGAACTGGAAGTAGACTGGCAAACCAAGAGCAGCTCTTTCAGAGGCTGCTTTTGGATACCACTGTCATATATACTCCATGGAGTGGTGATCTTTTGACTGTATTAAAGCTGAGCTCCATCAGCAGATATAGCATCTTCTGCCACATATGCTGTGCCTGTTCTTGGCTAACAAGTGTGGCTTACAGACTGTCACCTCAATTGTACCTAAGGTATGGGTCACTTATTTTAGGTACAGCTTTGGTAGCAACTTAACTATACAGCATATTATGATCCAGAGTTCTGATAAATTTCCTGAATGACCACCTGGCTTTCCTAATGAATAAAACAAATCAACTTGTGTCTATTTGACATTTGAGCCTGTCCTTCTCGTATGAAGCTGCAGGATGGATCAAGATCTAGGTACATGCAACTGGGCTATCAAAACCAGTCTTCCCTGGCCCTTTTCTTCCTACCACAGGAACTCCAGCCCCCAAACTCCAGCCAAGCAGCATCCAAGTGTGGTCAAGATGGCAAAAGTTATTAACAAGGAAGAACAGACCAACGAGGAGAGGCAGCAGCTTGTTTTTACCCAAGCTTACTGGGAAGGGCGAGATTTTGTCCCTTTCTTCTCCTCCCTGCTGAGTTAATGGAATACAACTGATTTTTGCACTTTGAGCTAAAATAAGCTGAGGACAAAGGGGGAAAGTTGGGAAGGGGAAAGAAGAACTGGGAT